TAAAGAAAGTTGATTTTTTCTTAAGCGCTTTTCATGGTGACTTTGTATTTAATTGAATTATGGAGGATGTTTTTTTTTTGTTTTGTTATTTAGGTGCCCCAAGAAGACCTAACGGTCTTGTCACAGAGCACCGCGGAAGTGCATTTAACCAGGAAGTTCAAGCCTCCTTCCTTACCCTGACGCGAAAATATGTTCAGAGCTCGTTTCAAACCTGGATCTCCTGCTTATAAAGCAAGTGCCCTAACCACTGCGCTACGACCGCACGTTTTCGAATTAAGAAGATTCAAATTAGAGAGATTGTACTGTATAATTCAATTCTAATAAAAATTTAAATGGAGAATTATTTTAAATTAACTTTACACAATTTAATTTTATAAAATGTCAAATGTTCAGGTAAAATTATTATGCTCTGAAGTTTTTTAATTTAGAGCAAAATTTTTAATTAAATATATTTCAAAAAATTCCTATTATTATTTTTACCAATTTTTTTTGATATTGAGTTTGGTAGTGGCAAAAGGGACTTTGGTAGTGATAGGAACAATTTTCATTATTGGAAAAAATATTTTTATTTTCAAACACTAGATATTGAAATTGAGTTTTTTGATATCGCATTTTCAATATCATTACTACTATAGTTCGGTGTTTTTTGATTCTTCAATAGTTTGGTAGTGATATCGCAATACCTTTGTGTTTGTCGTCTTTATCTCCGTCAGAAACGCGCAGTCCTTATAATCAATTTTGCAAATCGTTTCTCTCATTCGAAGCATTATTTTATTCAAATGAGAGTTCTGAATATATACGAGTTAAATGTATTTAATACTTTATGTTTTTCATATATGTGGATAAATCGATTTTTCTAATATGAATTAGGAGTGCCACACAAAACATTTCCAGCAATTTTCAACTTGCTTCTAATATCACTGGGCAATAAGTAAACTTTTTATTTTTATTTTTTAAAAACTGTTTTAGATGTCTTTTTAATCAAATGTTGTATTATGATTCAAAGTGTCGTGTTATAATTCGAAGCAAGAAAAAATCTTAAACTAACATATGCTTTTAAAATAAAGTAATTTTATTTAAATACCGAATTTAAATAAACATTTTGTTAAGTAATTACAACAACCCTAGTGCGCACGGGACCTAAATAAACGTTCAAAAACCGTTCAAAAGACGTTTAATTGTCTTTTTTACGTGCCCATTAGGGCAAATGGTTAAAACTATGTAGCGTATTTTTCGAATAATTCATTTTTTAATGTTTAAACTCATTTCAATGAATTTTTGTTGATTTTTGTTCAGTGTAACTCGCATTTTTTTTTGTTGGTCACAAGCATACTTCAGAGACGACTTGAAATTGCTATGATGTTTGCGGCTTGATGAATTTTCTTCTATTTTATACATTCATGATCAGAGCTACAGAACTACAGAAGCCTTAATCAATTGGTTACTCCACATACAATTGGTTACTCCACATACAATTGGTTACTCCACATACAAACTACAGAAGCCTTAATCAATTATTTTTTTGCATATGATTGTTTGAATTATGGTCGTTTACTTCCGGTATATTTTTCAACAGCGCAGACTATTGAAAATGAAAACCAGAAATTTGGAAAGAGTTTATGGATGGTAAATTTTGTGTAACAAAAAGTAAAGTGTCTGTTACATAAACCGCACCAGATCATGGAATAAACATGAAAATAGAAAACTAAATGTAAGAGGAGGAATAGATGGCCTGACATCTATCCCTCCTCTTACATTTAGTTTTCTATTTTCACCTGAATAAATCAGCACTAAATCGCTTTTTTTTTTTTACACTCCTGAAAATCACTAGAATATTAGATGATTTTGAAAAAGAATACGGTTAAATTAGTTATGACACCAGAGTTTATCATCACGATATTGTCAAGAATCACTTGAAATTATAAAAAAATTGATTAAAGTACTTATTGATCATGATAAACCAGATTTACAGATACTGAAATATAGTTATAGTTTCAGTTGTACCTGAAAATATAGCAAGTGATGTTGTTAACAGGGATGAGTTGAACAAAAGCAGGCTTGTGGAGCCGAGCCGGAGCCGCAAAAATCGAGCGGCTCTTGGCTCTCGTGTTTTTTTTTAACAGAATAGAGTGTATGTTTATTTTTTTACTGTAGACAAACTTTATTTATTTATTGTTACACTAATTTGTTAAATGAATTATTAAATGAACTTCTATTTTTTGAAAATATTTTTTTTTAACAGTTACGGTTATGCCAAAACTTAATAAAAATGAATATTTTAACGATTTTGTGCTCAACAAAATACTACCCTTTAATAAAATTTTTTAATATTCTTTATTAAAAAAAAGTAAATTATAAATGGAAACATTACAGTGATGCACGTATTGCTTTATATTATATTTTTATACTGATACTATGCTGTTAAATATTTAACGCACGATTTAATGATCAAAGGTTATTGATATCTTTAAAATAAAACTAAAGGACGCGATCGTTTAATTTGGAACGATAAATTTCGTTTAAAATTTGTCACTAACACATTATTATATTATTTTTTTCGCGTAATAAAGTAGATATGGTATTAATTAAAAACATCAACAAACGAATTAAAATGTTTCTCTTAATTAAAATGTCATTGAAACATATAGAAAAACGAAAAAAAATTCTGCACAACTATTTACAAAGTCTTTCTACATCGTTAATTTCAATTGCTAAGGCATCTGAATCTAACAAAACTACTGTTTGTCATAAAACAATACAAGAGCTCTCTATCTATCAAACAAGGAAAAGGATGAAAGAGTAGCTTTAAGGATAAGAAAACCGTAATTAATATTCGACGATTATTCACGCAAAACCCTGGCTTATCGAACAGAGTGCGAGCCGAAGGATATAAAGTTTCAGAGTTTTTTAAAGATTAAAATTTAGCAAGCAATATGCAGCTGCGGTTTGAAATCTCGACCTTTTGTCACATCGTCAATTTTAAACTTGGATGTTTACATCAAAGAATACTTGCAAGCTAGACTTTTGGAACTTTATTGAAGTCACGATGTTCCTTGTTGGTTCTGACCTAATCTTGCTTCTTCTCATTATTCTAAGAAGACATCAAATTTATACCAAAAAGCTTGAATCCATCAATTTGCACACAACTCCGTCCCATTGAGAAGTTGATGTCGTCATATATAAGCGTAAATGCTTGCTTATTTATTTGAAATAATAAAAATATTAAAGTAAAAAGCACTTTTATAATCTTCAAGTTCCTTAGATTAAAATAATTATTTTTTGTAGTTTTTGCATTAGTTAAACTATTTTTCCTTTTTTTTTGAACTTTTTATCTTTTTTAATTTAACGATCGCATGTTTTACCCTGTGGGCATGGGACATACAATAGAAGTCTTTTGAACGTCTTTGGGGTGTTTTCAACGTCTTTTGAACGCTCAATACGTCTTTTTGAGGTCCTGTACCCACTGGATACCCAGTGGGTACGGGACTCAGTGAAGGCATAAGAAAGACATCTTTTAAACGTTTGAGATGTCTTTTGAACGTTTTGGACGTCTTTGGGACGTTCAAAAGACATCTTTTTTAAGTACTGTGCCCCCAGGGTATAATTAAAACTGAAATTTGAAACAAAAACTTTAGTTTTGGGTAAATAATATATAAAAGAAAGTGTTGATTTACCCCAAAAAAATTTTCTTTTTAAATGTTATATCCTGTAGTAGAAATACAATAACCTTGTAATCATGAGAGTAGGTTAAAAATTAATTGCTGTAATTGGTACAGTTTTGATTTGGCAAATGTGATAAAAATAATTTTAAACTTTTTTGTTCATAAAGTTAAGGAGTCGAGCCGGGTATTTCTTAGGAGCCGGAGCCGTCAAAAAAACAGTCGGCTCCACAAGCCTGGACAAAAGGCTTATAAATTATTTATTAAGAATCATTTAACAGATAGAAATATAGGTGTTTGGGAGCCGCTGCAAAAATTAAAACTAGGATTTTTCAAGAAAGCAATAATGAAATCAAATATAGACATTTTGGACAAGATTATGAAACAAGAAAGAAAGGCAACTTTGCAAAAATTTATTGTTGCTGCTATTGTTTCTATTGACAGTGATTGTTATTAAACTATAAAACTAACTTTCATGCCAGCAATATGAACTCCTACAATATTAACTCAATATTTAAAATTTTAGCGGTTATCTTAGAATATTAAATAATATAAAGAATTATAAAATTGATCACTCAGGATCTAAAATAAAACTACAGTACACCAATTAGGCCAGTAAAAAATAAAATTTATAATTACAACATTAACATATCAATTTGAGCAACTTTTATACCTTGGCAACCATCTTGGATTTCGAAATTTTGCACCAGTCAAAAAAAATGCAAGCTTATTTCAATCAAGTGACAAATAAAAATTAGCATCTAAAAAATACAACATACGAGACTAAATATTATTTTGAGATTTAAAAAGAATTCTCCTACAGTGTGTAGGTTAAAGTTGATCGAACAAAGCCAGCTACTTAGTGGTTTGTAAAGACAACTGGTCGTCTTTTCATAAAACCTTGCAACCGTTCAACCCCTGGAATTTTTATTTTTAATCCACGATGATGGGTAAATAAATTTTTAGCTCAGCACATTCTTATAATAAGCTGAAACACGCATGGTTCTGAAGATATTTATTTAAAAAGAAAACTTTCGGTCTTTTAAGTTAATTTATACGCAAAGGTTATGAGTTATTGTATGAGAAAATTTAATTTTCTTATTTTTTAGAATAATTTAGCTAAACACATTAGAAAATGTTGCTATTTTAAAATATAAGAAAATATTGCAGTTTAATATTTTTCTGCTAACTTTTAAAATCAAATTTATAAATATGTGACTGCAATATGAAATTCTTTATAAAATTAATTCAAGTGTTCCAACATAAATCCAAAAAAAAAAGTGGCTAGTACTCCATTCAAAAACAAAACACGAGTTGTTGGACATTTTAAAACAAAATAAATGACAGTTTGGGATTTTATTTTAACTTGATAAAGAAAACTAAGTCGAAAACACTTCCACACAAATATATCTGCGATAACATTATTGATATATAAAAAATACTTTCACACAAATATATCTTCCAAAACTTTATCGATCTAAAAAAAACATAAAAAGAAACACCAAATGAATATAAGCCGTCACAAAAAACACATAAAACACTAAATTACATACTTAATGGAGAAAACATCATAAGGTCTTCAAATTGCTTGGGTTGAGGTTTAACTTCTGACTGAACATCGTCAAATGAAGAAAGCAAATCACATTTTGCCGAAGCATCTGAAAATGATAGAAAATATTAAATCATAAATCAAATATAGCCCGTATTAAAAACAAATTACAAATATTGTCACCTTCGAGAACAATTGTCTTGGATAAATACTTCGTAAACTCTGAAGTCTAAATGATGAGTTTAATCTTAAAATAAAATCAAAAAACCTTAAACTATCATTGATTTTTGATATTAAAATATTAATTTTTATTCAAAACTTGATACTTGATATTAAAATATTAACTTTTATCCAAAACTTCTAATATTTAATAAGGTGGTAAACAAGCAACTTTAAAATAAAGAAACAATTAAAAAAATTCCTAATGGCATAAATTTAGAGGCAAACAGATTTTTCAGTCGAACCCCATTTTCATTTGTTTGACTCGGCAAGTCTTTCTGTAGTCTCTTGGGAATTCTAGTGTCATCAATTATATAATTTATGAGAAAAATCAGAAAGCTTCCATATCAGTAGAACCCACAAGAGATTTCAAAAAGACTTGCAATCTGGCGGTGTCTCGTTCAAAAAAAACTTTTTTTCTGTTGTTTTTTTTGTTGTATTTTTTAATGCTGATTTCAAATCTTAAATTCGCTTTTGTCGGCAAGCTCTAGTTTTTTTGCAATATCCAATTTTTCTAAAAAATAAGTTTTTTTCTAGGCGTTTTTATTAAAACTTGGTGACCAAGATAAAAAGTGGGCATTACATACTGTGTGCCATAAATGCAAAGAGAGTCTTCGAGATTGGACAAAAGGAAAAAGAAAAATTTACCTTTTGGAGTCCCCGTGGTGTGGAGAGAACCACTAAACCATATTGACGACTGCTATTTTTGTCTTGTCAAAACTTCTGGTATTGGAAAAAATAGAGCAGCAAAAAAAAATAACATCCCTTCTGCTATTAGACCATTTCAAGATTCAAATTCCAATTTTTAAAGGTTTGTTTTTGTCAGATGATGAACAAAGCATGTCTGCTACAGAAATGGAAGAATTTATACTAGTTTTGGAAGACTTCTCTAATGCGAAACGTCTACAATTGCCTCAGTGTTTTAGTCAGATAAAATGACTGTGATTTAAGACTTTCTAAGCAACTATTAGTCTCTCGATTAAAGGAAAAAAAAAACTTTTTGACAGCTTTGCAAAAGTTTCCTACTTTAGAACAAGAGAGGAACATTTGCTAACTTTTGTTCAGAAAATCATTTATTTGTTTTCTGTAATATTTCAGGTCTCCTATTGCGGTTAGGTTTTTCTGTATGTAATCCAACAGAATAAAGACTGTTTATCGATAGCACAAAGCAAAGCCTCATATGTGTACTTTGGAACAATAGTAATATTTTTTTGTTATGTACCAAGCGGCCATTCTGTTTATTTACAAGTTTCTTACCATGACATTAAAATGGTACTTAACTTAAATAAAAATCCAGAACAAAACTGAATTATTTGTGTAGATCTAAAAATAGTTAACTTAAATACAAACGCTAAAAACTATGCAGATTTAACTGAAAGAATGTTAAAAGCCTTTTGCGATCTTGGATGTAAAATGAGAATAAAACTTTATTATGTAGATAGTCATCTTGACCAGTTTCCAGAAAATCTTGGAGATGCGAGTGAAGAACAAGGAGAGCAATTCCATCAAGATCTTTACACCAAGGAGGTTTGGGACAAAAACATGATGGCAGACTACTGTTGAAGCATCAATTGAGACAACTTAGGAAAAATTTATAAAAGAAAGAGCAACAAAAAAAGTTTCTTTCGGAATAAATATTCTTTATAAAACAATATTGTCTGCAATATCATTAAAAACTAAAAGTTACATATTCTTTTATAAACCAACAAAACGTTTATTGGTATTATATAAAAAAAAATTTAATGATATTGATAGAGGTCTCGGCGGGAGGCGAGAGCTTTAACTCTCCCCTCCCGCCGAGGCAATTTTAAACGTTTTGCATAGAGAAGTCTTCCAAATTTAGTATAAATTCTTCCATTTCTGTAGCAGACATGCTTTGTTCATCATCTGACAAAAATTAACCTTTAAAAATTGGAATTTGAATCTGAAATTGTCTAATAGCAGAAGGGATGTTTTTTTTTTCCCCAATACTAGAGGTTCCCGCCTACACTACCCTAAAGTGGTTTACAGGAGCAATAATCGGCTCTTGCCGTCTCAATAATATTTTAACTATACAAATGGCTTACAACTTGTTGATATAGTAATATAAGTTATTTTATACAACGATTTTGTTTTTGCTAAAGCAGAACTTAGTATTATAAATGTGAATAAAAATATTATATAATTATACTTTTCTTCAAACACAGATGTTAAGAAATTTTTTTTTAGAAATCTTTCTTGTGAAATATTGTGTAATATCACTAATATTAATGACAATATGGTCGACTTCGCAAAATTGTTTAGAAAAGCATTACCGTTGTAACTATGATGAAAAAGTCATTTTAAAAATAAACTAATAAATGAATAATAAACTGAAATGCTTTATTAGGGCACAGTTATTACTATACCTTTAAAAAAAGAAAAAAAAGAGTGCCAATTGAAATGCAAATGTTTTTAATTAGATTGGACTATATAATTGGTTTCTTAAATAAATAATCAGTTTCTTAAAAAAATCCTATTATAAAAAAATAAATTGATAATATTCTTATAACTTAAGTAATTTTTGTATTAAATAAGCAATTTATTTAATTGTTATATATATATATATATATATATATATATATATATATATATATATATATATATATATATATATATATATATATATATATATATATATATATATATATATATATATATATATATATATATATATATACATATATATATATATATATATATATATTTATATATATATATATATATTTTAGGTCAGTTTTATCCTGCTACTGGTAACATGTAACCCAGTAACATGTAACCTGCTGCCTTGTAGGATACGCCTTTTTAGGCAAAGGCTAGGAGATGCAAACTCTGACATAAAACACCCCCTGCCATGGGGCTCTTGGTTGAGTAAAGGCTAGAGATGGTGTCTTAATAAAAATACTCATCTTGGGCAGATGTTACATGCATCCGGCTGCTGTCTTGTAGAAAGATGTATTTTTAATACACTGTTTCCAATTTAGGATGTTGAACGCTGGATCTTCTTGACTCGATACATGGGTTATGCTTGTGTCTCTGTTTTTATGACTAGGCAACTCATTCTATTATCTCCAAATGAGGGTACAGCTCTAAAACTCAGTTTTATGGTTCTGAGGCCGGCTGGTAGTCAGGTTTCCCGAACTCTGTGGTAGCTCTCAGAGAGGCTGATTCCATCAACAGCTGAAAAATATCAGAGTACTAACAGTGCCATGTTGCGCATGGATGGTGTCCCTGTTTGTACTTTTGGTGTGCATTGCCAAGGCCACATTGGAGCCCTTTGTTACGGCTTAGGGTTTTTTAATAGAAATGAGGCAATAGCTTGGGCTATAAAACAGTGTACTGAGTACTATCTATGCTTCGAGTCAAGTTCTTTAACAAATCTAAAAATGAATGAAGTAACAAAAACTATAAAACACAAAAAACCACAGTCATCACCAAGCTCGCTAAACCTATCATTCACCAATATTCGTGGTCTTCAAAGGAACTTTTCTTCTGTTGAGTCTTATCTCTTGCAAAGTTCACCAGATCTGCTTGCTCTTTGTGAGACTAATTTGAGTTCAGCTGTCTCATCTTGTGATCTTAGTGTTGATGGTTATCTTCCTTTAATTCGAAGGGACTCCAATAGTCACATGCTTGGCCTGGGCATTTACATTCGTAAGAATTCACCCATTTGTCGGGAAACTAGGTTTGAATCCACAGACTACTCTTTTGTGTGCTTTTGTTTAGCACCACTTCACTCTATCACCTTTCTCTTTGTTCTATATCGCACTGCCTCATCTCAAGACTGCACTCTTCTTGATGTTATTTCTGATCATATTGGCCAAGCCCTCTCTCTTTATCCATCAGCCAATATTGTTGTTGTTGGTGACTTTAATGTTCATCACACTGAATGGCTTGGCTCTAGTGTCAGTGACTCTGCAGGCATTAAGGCCCACAACTTTTGTCTTTCTTAATCCCTAACTCAAATAGTCAACTTTCCAACTCGCATTCCAGATAACCTGAATCATTTACCTTCTCTACTCGACTTATGTCTTGTTTCTGATCCTAGTCAGTGCTCAGTTTCTCCACACTCACCCTTATGTGCCTCCAATCATGGTTTGGTCTCTCTAAAACTATTATCTCATTCTTCTTTATCAGCAGAATCCCCCTATCATCGTACATCTTACAACTACCTTAAAGCTGACTGGGACTCTTTCCTTGATTTTCTTTGTGATGGCCCCTGGGTATCTTTTGTCTTCCTATTGACAAATGTGCTTCTTACATAACTTTGTGGATTCAGGCTGGCATGGAATCCTTCATTCCCTCTCGATGATTCCAGGTCAAGCATCACTCTTCTCCATGGTTTTCCTCGCATTGTGCTGCTGCAATTGCCAATCGAAACCATTACTTCCATATCTATCAGCAAAACAATTCTCCAGAAAACAGACATCTGTTTATTACTGCTAGGAACCATTGCAAAAAAGATTTTATCTAACTGGAAAGCAGCATCTGTTATCCCTATTTTTAAAAATTCTGGAGAGCGATCCGATTCATCTAACTACCGTCCCATTAGTCTTCTTCCTATCATAAGCAAGGTTTTTGAATCTTTAATTAACAAACACTTAATCTCTCATCTTGAATCTCATAACCTACTTTCTGACCATTAATATGGATTTCGATCTTCTCGTTCTACAGCTGATTTGCTAACAGTAATAACCGATAAGTTTTATTGTGCATTAGATTAAGGTGGAGAGGTTAAGGTCATTGCTCTTGACATTTCTAAAGCGTTTGATAAAGTTTGGCATGCTGGTCTTCTCCATAAGCATTCTTCTTACGGTGTATCTGGAAACATCTTTAAGATTATTGAATCCTTTCTTTCCAGTCGTAGTATAAAAGTTGTCCTTGATGGACAGCTCTCGACTTCTTATTCTGTAATATCAGGGGTTCCTCAAGGTTCAATCCTTGGCCCTTAACTCTTTTTAATTTACATTAACGATCTTCCAGATATTCTCA